TGGATATTTAACTCATTTTAAAAATGGATAAAAAACAAGTGATACCTATATTATCCATTTAAAAGTGGGTAGTTAAATGAATAAAATGGGTAAAAACAAATTAAAAAAAGTGATAAAAGGATTGAATAGTAAAAAATTTTTTAAAAATAAAATAAAAAATAAAAAAATTTTACATTTAATTTGGGATAGGGGGTGGTAAGGGGGTAGGGGTTAAGATGGTGTGGGGGAGTCTAGGGGGGTGGGTGGTAATTTTTTTCAAAATAATTTTTTATATTAATGAAATTTTTTTAAAAAATTGTTAAATTTTTTTTGAGATGGGGTGCCGGGGGGGGGGGTTGGGGGGAGTAGGGGCTGGGGGTAAGGAGGGCGGGTTGTAATTTAGTTTAAAAAAATAAAATAAAAAAGAATTTTTTAAAAAAAAAATAAAAATAAAAAAGAATTGGATTGGGGTGTAGAGGGGACTGATAGGGGTGGAGTGAGTAGAGTGATAAAAAAAAAAAATTGTACATAATAGCAAATATTTAAATCAAAATAAATACTATAGCTACTATTTTATTTATTTTCAGTTGGCAACAAATGTTACCTGATTTTTGTGGCCCGCTAATTTAAAAAAAAGAAAGACTTATTTTTATACAAACATCTTTCCTATCTTTTCTCTCTTAGTTTCTGTTGATTTCCCTTCAAATCATTTTTTTAAAAAAAATTGGTTGGGCCAACATATTTTAAGAAACGAAAGATTTATTACTTTTATATAAATTCTTTCCTATTTTTTCTCTTTCAGTTTCTTTTGATTTCTCTTAAAATTTCTTTTCAGATCAATTTTTTTAAAAAAATTAAATTATGTTATGATTTCCATTAATATAGATTTTTAATTATATGCATATTACACTAGTACAAAATCACATATATAGATTTCACATATACATATGCATATGTGCATATACAATTGGCAAATCTAATACAAGGAACATATACATATATTATTAATAGCTAATACAAAATTTTATTTATATACAAATTTCATGCATATAAATTGTGGAATATACATAATATAGTTATATATACATATATAGATTTATATTTAAATACATATAATAAGATATATATATATATACAACTGAAAATCATCACAAAAAAACATATACTTATACAACTTATAGCCAAGTAAGTTTCTTATTTATATACAAATTTCAAATATATACTTATACAGTTGGAATGAATAATAAACTATACAAATTGATAATCGTCCTACACACTTATAATTATACAATACAAATATTTTCCTTCCCAAGTCTCTTATGACTTTCTCTCTTTCTTGTTTTATTCAAATCAAAATTGTATATAATTTCTCTCTTTCTCGTTGTATATAATTCGTTTAATACAATTCGTTTCAATTGTATATGTATAGCGAATTATACATATGTATGTTTGTTATGGAGCCAATTATGCAAACTTTGTTATAGCATATAAATATGAATTTTGTGTTTGCTATATGTGAAATTTCCCCTTAAATTTTTTTTTATTTGTTTTTTAAAGCTTTTAACAAGATCTCTAATATAATATGGGTAAAAATGGTTACCATTATTATCCATTGGGTAACTCATTTTTACCCATTTAAAATATGAGTCGAGTCAGGTAATTTATCCATTTTTATTTGACTCGTTTTTTGATCGACTCATATTCGGCTCGATTCGCTCGTTTGCCAATCCTAATTGTGATTGCCTCTATTGAGTCTTTTCACTTTGAGATTGAAAAGAGCAATAAGAATAAAATGTGTTAAATTTTTTATCATCCTAACATTAAACATGGATTCGTATGGTTCCTCTACGCTTTAGACACTAAAATATTGAATCATAAACAAAGAAAAACATGACAAAAAATATAGTCATCGTTCTTTTCGAGATAACTTGCAGGATATTTCTAAATATCCCAGCTACTCACAGATCGTGATAAATTGTAATAATCATACTTTCAGAATGTTTAAATTGACCCGAGCCTTAATGGATTGAGTGATTAATATGAGTATGTCATATTTTAAGTGTTCCATGGACATATCTCATGTTTTGATGTTAAGCGAGTTGTGAAATAAAAGTTGACGAAAGTTATTATAAGTTTCTTTTAAAGTTTTTTGAAATTTGGGTCATATATCTCTGTGATTTCCTCCTAATATATAAATAGATATGGGGTCATAAAGTATCAAATTGAAGGCATATGAGTCTAGTTTCCAACGCATCAAAATGCTGATTAGTACAACTTCAGAATACAGAGATATTTATATTTTTGTGAGATGACGCAAGCAAACGTAAGGTGGGACAAGGTCGATGAGTACTTGCCAAGGTTGGTGAGAAATTGCCAAGATCGGTGGGAACTTTATTTAACCGACCTGCTTCATTTTCTTTTTCATTTTTATATTCCAGTAGCTCAAAATAAAGAGAAATTCTCCCCAAGTTCATAAAACACTATTTAGGTCTTGGTGATTTCATCTTGCAAGCTTAAGGAAAGTTCCTTTGTGTTGAGAGCTCGTTATTTTGGTAAAGTTTTTGTTGTGGATTGTGTGGTGTACCTCTATGGTGGTTGTAGCAACATGGGTTATACTTTGTTCGGAGGTTTTGAGTTTTATTTCGAGCTTAAGTTCAAGGTAATAACCTTATTTCATTAATTCAAGGCTTCATAAGCCGCTAATAGTGAGTTACGATGAAAATTCGTACCTTTTGTTGGATCATCATAGTAATGTCCATTCTTGTGTGTTGATTGTGGTGTTGTCTTATTGTAGTATCGAGTAGAAGCCGATAGGCCGTTGAAATTCATTGAAAAAGGTATGTTAAGGCAATTTCCTTCGTTCGACATGTTTCCTTAAACGACATGTTTCCTTAAAGTCTAGGAGCGATATGATAAGGTTGTTATAGTTGGTGAACGCGTAGACATAATCGTAGTGCTTAACTAATTAAGTGGTTGTAATCCTTCTTTGCTGGAACTCAAAATTTGTTAATAACGACCCTATGTAGGGAACAATTTAGAGACTATTCGTATACATTATTTTTTGTGGCTAAATTGCTCGCTTTTAGCCTATTGAATTGTTTGTTATTGCCCTTGGGGCTATTTGGGTTAGCTGCAGAGTTATGAACAGCCAAATAAGCCATGTTATTGCCTAAGAGAGATATGTCTTGCCCACGGAGCTATATTGATACTAGAGAGGGCTATGTCTTGCCTACATGGTTATATTGATGCCAAAGAGGGTCACGTGTTGCCTATGGGGCTATATTGATGTCTACGAGGGATATAAATAGCAAAAGGAGCTACATTATTGCCTGAAAGGGCTATGTGTTGCCTATGGGGCTATATCATTGCCTAAGAGAGTTATGTGACTACGCGGACAAGGGCTATCGATAGAGGTATATAGATTCATTCGACACCTTTGTAACACCCTAAAAAAATTTTGAACTAAAACTCGAACCGTTCTTTGTAGTGAGAGAAATTTACCAAGGAAATTAAAATTTTCTTAAGTATTAAGGTTAGGTCACTAGATGTAACACCTTGAGTTCTAAAAGAACTAAATTGGAAATAACAAAAATCTGAAATTAGGAGATTTAAGCTAAGTATGAATTTTGGGTCAATTTCAAACAACCATAACATCTAGCATAGGATGAGTTACGCGTGCTACAAGATACCATTGGAAAGATCTTTGAATCATCTTTTTAAATCCACTATGTTTGCTAAGTTTCGAGTTTGGATGAGTGATATATGACCTTTTAAAGTGAGGCCGCCCGATTAAGGAAAGTTAGCCGAAAATAGTGAGGGATATGTTGATCTTTTTCTTACCCAATCAGATTTATTTCGTTTTTAGTAATATTTTAAGGGTATAATCCTATTAGATTCATTTTTTGTCCTAATATTCAATATGTTACTTCTTACTAACGCCCATTGCTTGGGGCCGCAAATGTACATGCTTGCAGATCCCGACAGACAACTCAATAGACTTCCCCAGCAGAATAGTTAAGTTCCGGTATGTTGACTAGACCCTTTCTTGCGGTGCTGCCAGAGTTGACAGGTTTATTGGCTTTTGTTGTATATAATTTTGTGTAGGTCGAGCCTTGTCCCGATCAAGCTTTACTACTCTTAAGGGCTTGCAGACTTGTGTGTTGGGTTGTATAACTGCATTATCAGTCATACTTGACTTGTTTGTTGGGTTGCTAAATTTTGATGGTTGTTTGGTGTACTGTCTTGATATATAATGTTTACATTTTTCTAGATATAAATGGTGGCCTCGACGGTTCAAACATGGCTTATCTGCTAGTTGACTATTTCTTTATATAAGATGTTGAGAGTTGTTGTTTCCTTTACATAGCTGTTGGCAGGGTCAAACTGATCAAGGACTTATTTTTAAGCCGAGATATACTTGTTTGTTTTCTTAGATAAGTGTGACTACTATGCGCTATTAGCAAATGGTTCATCCGGATCGATTTAGGCCCAAGTTTTGGCATTAAGTAACCAGTTGCACTCCTTGAGTTCGGAGCATGACATAAACAAATGATTAATTATCTATATTTGGAAGAAATCAAAAACTTTTTTAGAAATTCTATAAGTTTTAGCTCATTCTTTTTTCTCTAAACAAATGGTTAGGACTTCATCCAGTTCTCTCTGTCAGGCATAAATTCTAACTTTTACATATACGACATGATTTGTAGTCAATTAAACATGTTCACTATTTTGAAATATCTTGAACTTTTACTCTATAAACAGAAACTAATTTGTGTCGATAACTTATATTCAATGGACAATAAAAAAATTATCCCTACGAAATTTCTAAAAGAAAAGTTATTTTTTGAAAATTTTATCAAGAGGGATCAAAAATTCGAGATCACGAGAGTCCATTTGTGAAAAAGGTGAACCGGATCTAATTACATGAAATGATCCACTAAATCCAAGTTAAGCCCAAAACATTAAGCCCAAAATGGACATATGACATTTTAGGCATCATCATTTAACCCTAGCTGTATATAACAATCTGCTAGGTTTAACGTTAATTCTCTCTTTCTTCAGAGCTTCAACAATGGCGGCCAAGAAGACACTCCGTAACCCAGAGCTAATTCGCGGCGTGGGTAAGTTCTCACGTTCCAAAATGTACCACAAAAAGGGTTTATGGGCAATCAAGAAGAAAAACGGTGGAAAATTCCCTCAACACCAGAAAAAACCAATCTCAGCTCCACCAGCTGAGAAATCCCCAAAGTTCTACCCTGCTGATGACGTGAAAAAACCCCTTGTAAACAAGCACAAACCAAAACCCACGAAGCTAAGAGCGAGTATTTCTCCAGGGACAGTGTTGATTATCCTTGCTGGTAGGTTTAAGGGGAAGAGAGTTGTGTTCTTGAAACAGCTTTTATCTGGGTTGCTTCTTGTTACTGGGCCTTTTAAGCTTAATGGGGTTCCTTTAAGACGTGTTAATCAAGCTTATGTGATCGGTACTTCAACGAAAGTTGATGTTAGTGGAGTGAATGTTGAGAAGATTGATGATAAGTATTTTGCTAAGGAAGCTGAGAAGAAGCAGAAAAAGGGTGAAGGGGAGTTTTTTGAAGAGAAGAAAGAGGTAAAGTTCATTTCTGGTTTATATTAACTGATTTTAGTTTAAAGTCTTAAATTTTAGTAATTCTCTAGTTTTGTGAAGTCGTTAGATTAACTCTGATAACAGAGTTCAACAATGTTGGAACGGATTGACTCCTAATTGTGTGCTAAAATATATTTGTGTGCTAAAATATAGGATGGATTATATTAGAGAAGATCAAAATGTTGTGCTTGATTGAAAGCTACATGTACCAAGAGTAGGGTGAAGTTCAGTACCCAATATCTTGATTGCCAATGTGGCTGTAGCTAAATGAATTCAATTTGAGTGGTTTACTGGCCGGTTGTCGTTCTGCTGTCGATTTATCTGCTTACCGAACTTCTTACATTTATAGTAGTTGTAGTTTATTTACTCGAAATGGAATTAAATGGGTGGAACAGATATGAAGTATCTGAAAAATGGATATGTAGAATTTAATAAGCTGGTTATCTTTAAATTAGAACATGCAATATGGGATGTCGTTGTGAAACACGAGGATACTGTGAAATTGACAATAAATGATTGAGCTGCCTCTAGTATTAGAGAAGATCAAATGTAATGCTTGATTGAAAGCTACATGTACCAAGAGTAGGGTGAAGCTCAGTACCCAATATCTTGATTGCCAATGTGGCTGTAGCTAAATGAATTCAATTTGAGTGGTTTACTGGCCGGTTGTCGTTCTGCTGTCGACTTATCTGCTTACCGAACTTCTTACATTTATACTAGTTGTAGTTCATTTACTCGTAATGGAATTAAATGGATGGAACAGATATGAAGTATCTGAAAAATGGATATGTAGAATTTAATAAGCTGGTTATCTTTAAATTAGAACATGCAATATGGGATGTCGTTGTGAAACACGAGGATACTGTGAAATTGACAATAAATGATTGAGCTGCCTCTAGTATTAGAGAAGATCAAATGTAGCTACATGTACCAAGAGATGGGTGAAATTCAGTATCCAACATCTTGATTGCCAATGTGGCTGTAGCTATATGAATTAAATTTGAGTGGTTTACTGGCCGGTTGTCATTATACTGTTGACTTATCTGCTTACCGAACTTCTTACATTCCCAACTCGTTGTAATTCATTTATTTGTAATGTAATTAAATGGATGTAATGATATGTCGAATTCCCTTGAAGCTAATTTTAACTAAGATTGGGTTAAGAGGGTGTCGATTGATTTTGACTGAGATACTGATGATTCTCTTGATTTTATTTGTTCTTGCTAATTCAGGAGAAGAATGAGCTTCCACAGGAAAAGAAAGATGCCCAGAAAGCCGTAGATGCATCATTGATTAAGGCCATTGAGGCTGTTCCTGATTTGAAGGGTTATTTATCTGCAAGGTTTTCACTGAAGTCAGGCATGAAACCACATGAGCTAGTGTTTTAGGCTACTATTGGCACAATACTCTTGTTTGTTGAATTGACCTTGTTTATCTCTCTGTGTTCTCTTTGAAAAGAGTTTGATTGTTCACATGAAAAGTTTTGTTGATGAGAATCATCTTAGATTGAAGTATGCAATATGAGATTTCCCCGTCGGAACTATTTATTCTTTTATTACAATCTTAAATGTTTATTGCTCTGAAATCTTGCTTCTCTCATTATGTGTGCACTCAATTTGAGTTTGTCAATATGTGATGTTATTCTTATTGGAAGCTGCATGTACCAAGAAAAGGGTGAAATTATGTACCCTTGATCTTGATTTTGCCAATATGGCTGTAGCCACATGAATTCAATTTGAGGAGTTTACTGGCCGGTTGTTGTTCTGTTGTCGACATATCTGCTTACCGAACTTCTTACATCTCCAATACTTGTCATTCATTTTTCTGACTGCACACACACATAACAGAGGTATGATATTAGTCCCTTGGATGAGAAGGGTATAAGAATGAAATGGCATAGAATTTAGCCTTTTCAAAATGCCCTTCTCTTAAACCAATCATCTCTGCACTTTCCAGGCTGACTGCTTCGACTTCCAGCAGTCCGCGTCTATAAGTGCATACAAGAAAATACTATTAAGAATTCTATGGTTTCTGCTTTTCTTGTGTACCTTTAGCAGACAGTTGAGTTTGATGTGGTGATACAACTTACAAGTATTGCTGAATCGATTTGTTGAAAATCCAATCCATTTGCATGCAAACAATCATGGTAGGATTGTTAGTTTGCTTTGCATTTATCATCAGTCTTTTCCAAAACCAGGTTTCAATTAGTTGACAATTCACTTTTTCCCATCTAATGTTTGTCTTCTGAACTTTACCTTTATTTAAAAAAATGTTTGTCTTGGGTGAATATATCAATGAACAACTACTTAAGAAGGAATCAAATTTCATGGTAACCTTCATTATTTTAAATAGCATTGAAGAACCTATTTACCTTTATATAGAGCATATTTGTTTGTGTTACATTGCGTGCTACTCGACTAAATTCACGAAGTACCTGCGTTGTCAATTCAAGGCTAGAATAAATGAGAATAAATTGCATAGAGCAAAGTACTTTAAATACTTCTGAAAACAGATAATCATGTAAAAAAATATCTAATTTGCTCTCAATTGTTAATACAATGAATTCAGATAAGTACTATCCACATAAAATATAAACCTTGACTAAAACTAAGCCAAAACATAGAGCATATTAAAATACAACCATTATCATTTAGGTTTCTCCAAAAAATGTCCCTTTATAATCTCCTTCCCAAAAGTTTCTTCAACCCCTTCCCTCTAACCTTGGATGTTGCTACTTCCTAAAATTTATCTTGCTTCGAAGTACTTCAATTTCGAATCCAGGGTCTATCATAAACAGTTTTACTGTCTTTCACATAGACGTAAGGTTTGCCTATATCTTACCCTCTCTAGTCTCATTCAATACGCTGGTTTTGTTATCGTCGTTTTTGTCCTCAAATTATTTCCAAAGTTCCAATTATGGGTGCAAAACTTTGTTGTCTTATCAAGCCAAATTCAGAAGTGCATGAACCAAAAAAGATCAAACAAAATGACCCTTGTTCAAGAAATCTTGGAAGTACAACTAGTCCTCTTCAAGTTCACAAAACTTTGAAAGATATCCTCATGGCTTCATCAAATATAAACCCTAGTGTTTATTTGTCACCAGAGTTCATGATCAATAAAGATATTTTATTTTCTCCAAGAATTAGTGTTTCATCTGAAAGATTAGTTTTTGGAGGTAATGTTGGAGGAGAATTAGGGTATTTTGAAGCAATGAGTAGAAGTCCAAGTGAAAAATTGAAGAAGAAAGTGACTTTTAGGTTACCTGAAGAAGCTGATATTATCATATTTTACTCCCCAAATAGTACTAAGAGTCTTGAACAATAAGGGTGTGTTCGGTGCGGAGAAAAATATTTTTCATTTGGTAGTGAAATAAAAATAGTAATTATGTTTTAATTGTTGGAAATAACCTCTCCAAGGTTTGTGTAAAACTTGTCATTTTCAGACTCTAGTCGTGTGTGACATTACAATGGGTATACACTATGTTTCAATCTTTAATAAGTTGGAATCGGTTATATGAATCTCACGGCAAGATATTTTCTTGAACATATTTTTTGTCAGAAGTGAAGAATTGATTATTTTTTTCTCTTATAGATTTCCTTCACCAATCCAATTAAAATAGTTTCTAATATATATTTCTGGGTTGTTGGTTCTATTTTATTTTATTATTTTTGGATGGGTGTGACAAGTTGAAGTAATCAGCTGTATCAAATTACTATTTTTATGATTTAAGATTGGTGATGCAATGGTCTCTGTGTTATTAATTTGTAATCTACTATATTCATTTCATATATCATTCTCTCGAAGTTATTCGTTTTCACACACAAGCAAACTCTCCAAATTTATAATTAAATTTTCTTTAATAATCTTACGATACAATTAACTATGAACTATATAAATTGGTGTCATTTGATTAATATATGTCAATCAGTTTAATAATTAGTCCCACCAAGCAATATCAATATCACGTAGCAATAGTCTCCGTTGATGTTTCGTAAATTTTGAATTCGCTTCTATAATTTCTCATGTATTATTAAACAAGAAAATGCACTGGAATTGTAGATTGTATATGTAAAGGTTCATTTTAATTTTGTAATTCTATAGAAAAATTCTATAAGTAATTAATTATTTAAAGATTGTTTTAATTATGATTAGTTGGTAAAAATCCTAGAAGAAAACCACCAAAAGAGTTTGAATCAAATAATTCCAACGTTGGGAACAAAACAAATCTATGCCTTAATACTATATTCCATATAATAGTGATTTAAATAAACTATTGCGTATAAATTTTGTTTTGAGATACTATAGTTGTTTGCATAGGGCCTTTTAATTTGTTAGACAGTAATTATAGGGATATGGTGACATCAACGATGAAAAGTTGTTTGATACTATGCTTATACAAGTGTTCTCCAATTATTGATACTTTTGCCTATTATAAATATTCATTCGTATTCAATATTTTTATATTTAAAAAACAAGAATTTG